TGTTGGGCATAACCTCTCTGAACTTATCTCACATAACCCCCTCAACTACAGGATGTCTCACAAAACCCCCTGATGTTCAACTCTATCACATTTGAGCCCTTTGCGTGTAATTTGCAAATAACTAAAACGTCTTCAAGAGCAAAAATTATTATTCTTGTCATTTGTCATTACAAGAAACATATATCCTCTCCTAAACTTTGGGTATTCTAGTCTTAAGAAAAGTTTAATTATTTGACAAAATACATGTAAATGTGTTCGGTGAGAAACTCCCGAAGTTTAGGGGATTTTATGAGACACCTAAAGACGGGTTACTTGATAAACAAAGACTGCCAGATTGGTTTTTTACCCCCTCTCAAGCAACTACAAAGTATTAACAATTATCCAATGAGACAAACATGTATGAAACTGGATCGTCGGTGATTTTTAGCGGCAGCTTGTCACGTGACAAAGCACATGAGGTTCACGTGGTTGTCTTAGCTACCGTCAGTGTCTTAACGCTGATAGCGGGGGGCTTTGGACGTTTTTTTGGTCCCCCTAATTTCTTTGAGAAATAGTTTAAGTGGAGAAACCCCAATTTGACGTCCACAGGAAAGAAGTGTTAGAACAAACAACTTTGTTCGTGCAATATCTCTTGTTTGATTAATAACAAATTTTCATTTGGTACTAATAAATTTGTGAGATTTTTAGGAATAAATAGATATGATCAAGTAGTTCTGATGATGAGTATTCGGATGAAGAGTTATACCCTTATTATGATGAGCCTTATTCTAAGTATAAAGAGATGTTAATTCATTTGGAAAGTATAGCTCATAAATAGGAAGAAACTAAAAAGAAGAGTACAAATTTGAAGAAAGAAAATAAACTTCTGTCAAAGAAAGTTTATTTTTCCTCTACAAATTTGAATTCTGTTGATTTAACCTCTCTTAAATGCATGCAATGTTTTGAGTTACAAAATTAAATTTACTTGTTTATCTAAGCAACTCAAAAATATTTCATGTGAAAAAGAGAAATAAGTTATTTTGTGATTTGTCATCGTAGCAAATTAAGTTTAAAACTTGATGCACAACAATTATTTCTGAAAATGAACAATTAAAGTCTAAAATTAGTGATTCCGAAGAAGTCGTGAAGAATTTTTGAAATCATCATCGTCTCTTTTGCTTTGGAATCAAATCAATTTGAAAAAACTGAGTTTTCTAAACCCTAGCTTTTGTTCTTCGAATATCTTGTTTTTAGTTTGTTTTTATGGGTATAAGTTGCGTGTTTAGATACAAGAAAATTAAGTTTGTACATGAGTTTTGATCGACTTAGCGCAAAAATTTGTCGCGTTTAGTTCTTGGATCATCGATGGTCGAAGAACACCATCGATGGTTTGTTGTCATCCACCGATCGTCAGAAGGCTAAAATTGCATTTTTTAAATTCTTTTTAAGTTTTTACTCAATTTTCTTTATTTCTAAGCTATCCTTAGTATATTCTCTATGCTAATATATGGTTGTTTGATTTTGTAGAGAATGTCTAGCGGGAAGAGAGGTCGATCTTCACAGTCTACTTCTCAAGATCTGATTGAGAAGTATCAGAAACTCAACTTCATATAGGAGAGTGGATTAGATGTACCTTATTTACAGGAATATGTGAATCTAGTAAGATTGTTGGACATTGTTGGATTGGGTTCGATGAAGAATAAGGAAGGGGAGAAGACTAATATTACATGGGTTCGAGAGTTCTATAAGAACTTCAATCGAGCCTACAAATCTACAGAGGCGAGGACTACAGTTAGAGGGCGAGAGATTAAAAATCAGTGCTGACTACATCTGCAAGCTTCTTCATTTTCCTCTTCCATATGTAGAGTGTCGTGGCATTTTTTTAAATTTTCTGTGAACGTCATCGTAGGTTCTCCAGAGTATACCTACATGGCTTAGTATCTTTTAAAGCATTTCACTTTAGGGGCATTCAACTTAGATTACCTAAAACCTGAGTATATTCTTCCTAATCTCTTTCTTAAATTCGATGTATACCTTAGTACTTCCCCCACCACTGTGAAAGTTAGAGATGTCATCCTACTTTATTGGTTAGCCACGGGCTAGTCTTTTGATCCAGCTCAGATTATATTTATCTGGATGTTATCTATAGATACTATAGCTAGGGAGATGGTGGAGAAGAGGAAGAAGTAGAATACCCGATTAGTTTACTCCTTCTTGATCACCCGTATCTGCAGAGATCAGAGGGTCCCATCTTTGTCTGATGACACGGTCAGGAAGAGTCTTGGGGCGAGAGGTAGAACTGAGCATCTAGCTGGTCAACCATTAGGGTCCCAACCTATAGGTGATGATGTACCCAGCTCTTCTAGAGGTGGTGATGCTCGCTGGATTCACTAGGAGCGAGGGTCAAGGAGATTCAGATGCAGATGCGATCACAGTGCTAGTACTATGATGCATCTCTACAATATGTTATGAGAGCTCTTCATCGATTAGATCCCAGTCTTGCGCCACCACCAGTCTACAAAGACTTCATGCACATTGGTATGAGGAGATGCAGAGACCAGCAGTGACGATGATGATTTTTCTTTTTCTTTTCTAGGTCCAAATTTATTTTTATCTTTCTTTATTTTTAAGTTATTTCTTTTATTTTTTATTCTGGACCTATATATTCCGATGCATGATGAGATACATTGGCATGTACTAACTATTTGCACTCATTTTATATTTTTGTAGTTAGTAACCATATGCATGATCATCTGTCCTGTTGTATGTATATATATTAGATTTGATAGTTTTCTTTTTTTTGGTTTTTATTTGATTTTCTTGATTTTTTTTGGTTCTTTTCATATATCAAAAACAGAATAAAAATTTCTTCTTCTTTATTTTTCATTTAAAAAAAATAGAATATAAAAAAACTTGAAACTTGCATATGCTTTTAGATGAAATATTCAGATAGGGTTGCCTATTAGTATATAGACATGAGTTTTATCATGCTGGTTCACATATACTTTCACAATTAATCTATATTATAGATGCACACAAAGTTTTACATTTGATGAAAAACATGATGTTTTATGATATTCTTCATATTATTTTTCACATCTTAGTATAAGCTTATTATGTTTAGTTTTTTTGGGTAACAAGGGAAACCTGACTAGTCCGCTCAACTTTAACTCCTTTAGAGTCCGCCATCGGCCCTGGTTCGAATCTCACATCCATCCCACCTCTGCAAGGAGCTACCCTTAATACCAGAGGCTCATTCCCAGCTGACTGGGCGAACAGCGTGGGGGGCGGGCGCGAACTGGTGAGCATACAACGGGTTGAGCAAAGAGACCAGTAAAACCCCTGGGTCTCCATCCTCACCCTCAAACCCAGGGAGACCAGGTGAATTTGGCAATGTGAATCGAACCCCTAACCACTGGGAA